AGCTATTGTGGGGACTTGGGGAGTGAATCAGCCAATATAATCTCTCTGTCTCTCCATTTCTCTGTAATTCTGCCTTTCAATTTTTTTTTTAAGGAAAGTAAAGGAAAGAAGGAAGGAAAGAGGAAAGGAGGGAAGATAAGAGAGGAGAGATCAGGGGAAGCGCTCAGTATTCAACACACAGCCTCCCCAGTCCACCAACCCCACAGGTATACACGGGTCTTCAAAGAGTTCATGGCAAGGGAGTGTTACCAAATAACTGTCCACCAATTTCAAAAACTTTTTACACCAAAACAAACAATTCCATTTTCAGCAAGCTTTCTGAAGCACCTTCAATTTCTACACCTGGGTATGTGCCAGACACTGAGTCACAGCCATGACCAGCAAAGACTCATGGCTGTCCAAACAGACCTTACAACCCGGTGAACCAGGGCAGACTGACACTCAATGACGAATCACTAGCAGGGAAAAGTATAATTAGAGGAAGCAGTGGACCTTTCTTGGCAAAGAAGAGTGCACAGCCAGGAACCTTCCTGGACGGGGGAACTAGGGAAGGGCTCTCTCGGGAAGTTCTACGTTATGCTGAGATCTTAGGAGCAGCGTGAATGCAAAGAGGGAGGCAAAGCGGAAAAAGGCCATCAAGAAATGTTCCTTTATCACTGCAATCTTTACCTATCGTAGCTACTGTCAACCTCCATTACAAGAAAGATGCTTAAGGAATCACACACACACACACAGTGAGTGGCCCAACCTCAGAGTCCAGAGCAGCCTGCCCAGGACCCTCCACTCGCCATCTCCCAGCAATTGCCTTTCCACACTGCTATGCTGTCTCACCTGTAACTACACAGCCAGCAGACACTGGGCAGCCATCACAGCTGGGGACATGTGCCACAATGAAAACTTTAACCTCTAAGGTGCATAATTTTTTTTTTTTACAAAAATCAACTTTTATTGGAAACTGCATAAACTAAGAAAAATTCTAAGACTGTTCCTGAACTAAGATATTACTTAGAAATGATTCTAAAATCAGTTTCATCTCATGAACACTGCGGTCTCCAAAAAATAAACAGTATTTCAATTGTGGGGAAATTAAACTCAAAATAACTCATTAGCAATACTGAGACACATTTAACTGTTACCCACTGTGTAATTAGTTCTGAGTATGTGCTCTTCAAACAGAAAATTATAATAGAAATGTATATACTTTGCCAAAATTTAGTTTTAACAATACACTTTTAAAAACCACTTCCTTAAAGAGCTGACACATAGCTCTAAGTAGAACTAACTGACAAGAATCCAAAATGCTTCTATATTTAGCAGAGCTCTACAAGGAGCGACCACATCACGTTGCAGATGCTCAATGTAAGGTATTCTCACTCTTTTTTTTTTTTAACTCATTATGGAAGTAGAATTTGAAAGCAAAAGCATAACTTTCCATAAACACACAGCTAGCTGGTTTCTACAATATAGTATTCCCAAGGAACTCTTTTTCATAGACTAAAACATGGAACTAATATTTCCTGCAGCCACTAGAGTGGGAAACCAGACTTGCCATCCTCCTCTACCAACACAAACCTTGGCTTTCCAGACAGGTCTGCACTTCACTTCCACACACCCAACGGTACACTTCACTTCTAGTTGAACAATGCAGAAGTGACACAGGGGAAATCAAAAGATTTCTTTATTTGGAGGCAGCTGAGGAGAAATTTCAGATATTTTGAAAATAATTCAATGAGATTTTTTTTCCCAATGTAATTAAACACAAATCTTAACTCCCCCAACTTTTTTAAATAGGAAAGTGTGCAACATTTGGCCTATGTGCTACCAGAATGTGGCTGTTCTGCGAATGGTCCAGACACCTGGGGAGGCATCCCTGACCGCGTACGCAGCCTCCCTAGGGTGCTCCCACAGCAGCCACCCAGGGCCAGCTAGGTCAGCATCAAGTGCCAGGTGTCCGGCAGTTCCAAGTCACAGCTTTACTTCAAATCAACAAGACGACAACTGTTCGTGCAGGTAGGACTACCAAAACACTCAACAGAAAATAAAGACTGCTAGCTCGGAGTTTAAATCACTGCTCAAGAACACTATCGAACTGTAAGACGAGTAAAATTTTGCAGAGTAAGTGGCACATTCCTGACGAGATTCTGGAAGTTGTTAGGTTTTGACAGGTTTCAGTGGTCAGGTCTTCCAGGACGGAGTGTGGCCGCGCACGGCGGACTAGGTCGGCTGAGGAAAGCCAGGCCAGCACAGCCCTCATCACCAATCCCAGCAAAACACAAATCAACCCCTCGTCTATTAGCCTTACTTCTAATGTCAGGCCTAAGATAATTCCTTTCCTACCCAAAATACAGTTACTTCCATCCAAACTTTCTTCCCATAGCAAGATATTTGCCAATCATAAGCATGGACATAACACATCAGAGTAAACTAAATGCCTAAGATAGCCCTTTCTCAAAAAATGTGGTCCTCAAGAAATTGCAAATGAGCATTTCCTTTCTGTGTGTAGTTACAAGACAAAACCCATTCCAAGAGTCCACGCTGGAATGTCCACAACAGAGGTTATCTTCAACTCTGCAGATACATATTCCAAATAAAATGTTAAACACAATGTTTCATTTCTTACTCCCCAACCCTACACAGTTAAGCCACAAACAAAACACATTATAACTTTACATAAATAAAACTAAGTAGATAACTGAAAACATTGTACAGAAGTGCAGGGTCTTGACTTACTATCCACAGTGTCATAACAAGACACTCAACTAAAGAGGAACAGTTCACCTTGAAAGTTGGGGCCTCTAGACAACTGGGCTCAAGTTTCTGGAATACAGCAACCGTGTGCTTGTTAATTTTCTAAAATGCCTTGAACACGTTTCAGAAGTGATCTCACAACCAAATCTCAAATTCCTGATGAGATCTCCCCAGCTGATTTCCACTTCAACCCCTACCAAAAATTGACTTCCTCGGCCCCTCTCTCCAGATCATTTCGGGGACAGAACCCCGTGTGTGCCTCCCCCCCAAACCCATGGGGGTCCCTTCCTCGGACAGGAAGTAAGGTATGTACTTACACCCCCGTTCCGAAGCAGACAAACTTTCCCTACCCAGCCCTACACAAGAACCTGGCTTAGACACAGCCCTGGAGAGTGAACAGAGCCACCACTGCTGCCCAGGACAAGGGCCCTGGCAGGAGCAGAGCACCCAGGCACTAGCCCCATGCACCTTCATGGCTTCACCAGGACCAAGCACAGTTTGCTCTCTGCCACCATTCTTCCAAGCAGTCTTGAGTTGAAAGCCTTAGCGGGTCAAATTTTAGCCTGGCTTCCCATTTATCATCTATCTGAAAATAACAGTCTCCTGAAGCAGATGGAGAAATTTAAGGAAAGAAAAGCTAAAGGTAACCCCACTGAATTACAACACCTGCAAATCAAAGCACTAGGCGTACTCACTGCCAGAAATGCTCACACAACTACAGGAGAAACCGAACAGATAAGGGGGGTGCGAGAGACTGGAAAGAACTTTACACAAACTTTATGACTCATCAATACTTAGCCATTATTAAAATTAAGTGTGAAGAACAAGAAGCACCAAGGAATATTCATTCCTCCCATTCAAAAATTGACTGCTGGATTTTGGGGGGGAGGGGGACGGTGGCTAACAAAAATCAGTGAAGAGCCCCCCTCTGCCTGCAAACCACGAAGTTAATCCCATGTTCAAAAATACGTATGTGTGTATGCAGACAATGTGTGTGTGTGCGGACAAGAATCCTGAGTCATTATACTCAAATCGTTCCAACATCTGCCAATATTTAGAATGCGTTATAACCTGGTGATTGAGGGTACAGGCCGCTCCACCTCCCAGCACCCCGCTGGGTGACCTTGGCCTCCCTGCCCCTCGCTGGCTCAGCGGCCCCCATCTGTGAAATGGGTGAGCCGTCCCTACCGACAGGCTACGGGGATTTACCCTACACAAGGCCCTGAACTGAGCATCAGCCATTCATCTGTCTTCATCCTCGAATGTGAAAACAATATATAACAAGGTGTACATTTTCCTGGCCATAACGGGGCTATCATTTTAGGCCCTGCACCTCGATTACAGATTGCCAGAACCCGGGGATGGGCGAAAGGCACAGGCAACGACTGACTCACTAATTTTGCCATTTTTAACGATTTCAGCCTGAGGGAGGGGCCAGACAGGCGGCAGCTTCGGTGGCTGCTAAGCCAGTGGGTCTGTGCCTATAAATAGACTCGCGAAGTTTTGTTGCAATACACAGGTATCAATTTTAATTCGTGTCTCCGCGGCTGCTAAGCAGGTCACCGCGCTCCCTCGCGAGTGGCCGGGATCCCCCGCACTCATTCCTTGTCCAACTTCTATGCCAACCGTATCCCCCGGCCCCAGTGCAGACCCCTACCCCCGCCCCCCACCACCAACAACCTCCCCCACCCCCCCCAAAAAAGAGCGCCGCCCAGGGAGCCGGCCCCCGACCTTCGCCGGCGCCCAGCGCGGCCCTGGCCGCCCTCACCCAGCCGGCAGCCAGCCCCATTTTGCTTAACCCGTGCATTGTCCTTGCGAAGAACCCCGGCGGTTCCCACACTGGTGGGGACCGAGAGGAGGGACGAGGGAGGAGCTGGGGGAAGAGGATGAGGAGGAAGAGGAGGAGGAGGAGGAAGACAACCTCCTCCCCTTCGCCCGGGCGACCAGAGAAGGTCTGGCGCTGTCTGCGGCCCCCGGGCCCCCCGGCTCCCGAGAGGCCGCGGCCCCCCGCGCTCCCACCCTCCGCAACTTTCCCCCGGTTCGCACCCGCCTCTCCTCCGGGACCGGGGCCTCCGGGCTCCCTCCCCCGGCGGCCGGCCCCAGGCCGGCGGCGCCTCCTCCTAAAATGGCAGGTCCCTCCCTCCGCCCGGGCGGCCTCGGCGCGGGCCCGGCTGCAGCAGCAGGCCGCCGCGGAGCCGAGCGCCGGGCCGGGCCGGGCGGGGCCCGGGGCCCGAGGCCCGAGGCCGGGGCCCAGCCCGTGGCCGCGGCGGGTGGCCGGGCCGGACACTCACCGGGACGATGGCGGGGCGCTCGCGCCGCTCCCTCCGGTGAGTCTCAGCCTCGGGGCTCCCGCCGCGCGCGGCCTCCGCAGCCAGCGCCGCCCCGGCCGCCTTCTCTCTCCGCCCCCGGCGTTCCCGGCTCCGGAGCGCGCCGCAGCCCGCTCCGAGTCTTCGCTCCGGCTCGCGCTTCCAGCGGCGCCCGGGGGGCCGGGGAGGCGACGGGCCCGCCCTCCCCGGCAAATACCGCAGTCCCCGGACCCCCGAGTCCCGTCGGCGGGCGCCGCTCGCGCGCGGCCCGGCCCGGCCCGGCCCGGCGCTGGAGGGCGGTGACGAGGCCGGGCGCCGAGGGGCGGCCGCTGCCGGCGGCGGCTTCTTCCCGAGGACGATTTTGTCAAAAAAAATCTCACAAAATGGCGCGCGCTCCAAACCTGCGCAGCGAGGAGCGCCGGGGCCCGAGCGGCGGCGGCGGCGGCGGCGGCTTCTCCGCCAGGAGCGCCCGAGCCGCCCGCGCAGACAGACAGACACCCGCACACTCACACACACGCACGCACACGCTCCCTCTCTCACACTCGCTCCGGTCCCGCCCGCGCTCGCTCGCCCGCTCGCTCGCTCGCTCGCTGGCCGCCGGCGGCACCCACAGCGGCAGCAGGAACAGCAGCAGCACGAGCGGCGGCGGCGGCGCCCGCACCCCCCGCTCGGGGTGTCCGCTCCCCGAGCCCGACCTGGGCCGCGATCCGCAGCAGCGACGGCAGCAGTCTCCCCGGATCCCCCCGCCGCGGTTGCCGCCGCCACCCCCGCCTCACTCCAATGGGGCTTTTTATTATTATTCGGGCGGGAAGCGAAAGGGTTTAAAAAAAAACCAACCAACAAAATGGCGACGGACCGACCCGGTCGCTATAGCAACTGTCAATCAAAACGCAAAACCCCGGCTGACGTGCTGACGTCCTCCTCCCGCCCCGCTCCCCCCGGCCCCAAGCCGGAGGGCGGGGCCTGTTGCCCGGGAAACGGCCGATTCCGCTCCCCCCTCGGCCTCTCCCTCCTCCGTCCGCGGCCAACCACCCCACCCCCCTCGGGTCACGTGAAGGATAAATTGGGAGCTCGGGCCGGCTACGGCAGTCGGCGCAGGGCGCGTGATTCGCCGGGGGAGGGGCGCGCGAGGGCGGGGCGCCGGCCGGGCGGCGGGGAGGGGAGGAAGGGAGGGCCGGGAAGGGGGGCCGAGGCGGCGGCGGCGGCGGCGGGGCGGCCGGGTCCGCGCGCGAGCTCCGCCCCGCGCCCGCGCCGACTGCGGCCCGGGGAGCGCGCGCGGCCTGCCGCGCTTCCGCGTCGGGCGCCCGCAGCCCCGCCTGCGCCGGGGGGTGCCGGGGAGCCCACCCCGCGCGCCCGGGGCTCCCGCGGCGGCCGCCTGCATTCCCGGGGGGCGCGCACGTCCGCGCGAGGGGCCTGTTCTTCGAAGGGCCGCCGAGTGCGTGAGGGAAGCGGGCAAGGTGGGGCCGCCCGCGCGCGCTCCCCGCCTCAGGAATCCCGGGGTGCCCCTGCGGCTGACACCCCGGCCGAGCCCTGCCACGTGGGACCCGCCGCCCGGATTGACGGCCGGAGCCGCCATGAGGACCTGGCTAGGCCGAGCAGGCTCCCTCCCCGGGCAGCCCCGGGTCGGCAGGCCCCGCGGGTGGACGCCGGGCGGCTCCGTCCCCCTCGTCTTTGCAGACTCCTGTTCGGTTTCCTGATGAGCCCACTTGGTGTTCATCAAAAGCTCCTCGCTAATAGTCTAGCTCGCGTTTGTCTTGATTCTGGAGCAGCCGTTCAGGTATTTAACAACCCCAGGATGCGGTGCTGGCTTCGGTGCCAGCCCTAAGGCAGTGGCACGTCTGCACACGCGCGATTTCACGCCGAACGGCACTCATCTGTGGCTTCGCGTCTAAGCCTGATTTTACCGTGAGAGTGTCCTTGTCAAATCCTTCTTAAACTGAGGTAGCCGCAGATACAGTCTTCCAAGTGTAAAAAAGCGTCTCCATCCCCTGTCCGTTTGCAGCTGACGTTGCCCTCCTACAGTTAGGACGTTGACATGCCAAGGCAGGTGCTCAAACTAGCAAAGCCGGAGAGGAATCATACTGAAGCTTAAATAGATTTGCAGCTGGGGGACACTGGCAAACGTGTGATTACTGGTGATTTCAAACTCGCCCTACTAAAGAATTACACTCAGCTTTGTGTCTGAGAAAGACGAACTGGGAGAGTGCCTCTACTCATTTTTTTTTTAAGTTGTTACCTGGTGCTTCCCAAGCTCAAACTTCACCTGCAAGACCAACTCCCTCCCCCTGTCCCTCCCCCGGTGCCCCGCCCCTCCAGCCTTTCCCAGCCCAGGGCTTCCCTTCTCCGAATCTGGGAATCCCTCCCAGGAACAGCACGTCCAGGTTTGGTTTGGTTTTGTTTTTTAATTGCTAGTGATGGAGGCAGCTTGCATAATGAGTCTTCTAAGTAATGGACGGACACTGGCAGTTAGCTCAAGAGCTAGGCCCTTGTCTGCAGTCAGAGCGTCTAAAGCGGTGGACAAGGATGAGAGGCGTGGCTGGCGTTGTGTCTGGAAGGTTGCAAACTTTCCCCGCAGAGGACAACAAGCACAGCGCTCATCAGTGGGCCATCTTGTCCGGGATGGACGCTGTAAAGTGGTTTTATAAATGGGCTTTCCCTAAACACTAGTCAGTAAAGTGGGGCTGGCACCACACACGTGAACACCTGGGGGCGGGAAGACTGTGGAATGGAGGCTAGCTTGGGGCGGACAAGGTTGAGTAAATGCTGGCTGTGTTCGGAACGCCTCCTCCCTATGGGCTGCACTGAGAGTTCCTGGAAATTCCCCAAGAAGTGATCCGCCAACAGCCTCCACTGTATCCCACAGTTTAGACAAGGTGTCTACCTCGCAGCAACATTGTGGCCCTGTCCCATGGGTGGGACAACAGGGCTGACAGAACGCCAGGAAGCAGGTGAAAAATCGGGTTCAGATCCAAGCATGGTTGCTAATAGGAGGGCCATGATTTTTGCGGCACATGGAGATGGCAGATGATCTGGGAGCGGATTCTTACTTGGACAACACTGATAGAAAGTGGGTCTCTGTGGTGATGCCTAACTGCGATCTCTGTAACACACACACACACACACACACACACACACACACACAAAGGATGCAATGAAGACAGCATCAGAGGGCCTGCTGGAAGGTGGCAAGGAGGCCTGCCCCTCTCTGCTGCCCACCTGGAGCTGCGGTGGCCAGCCTCCAGGACTATGGATAGCTCATTTCTGCTGTTTAGGCCAGCTACTTGGTGGGAGTTTATCACACGGCTAACCGAAGCCAGCACAGATGCCCGCCGTGGGAACCCCAGGGGTCACTGCGGACCCTGAATCCATTTCCCAGTTTTCCTGAAGCCTTGTACACTGTACATCATTGTGTCAGTGTCAGACCCTGGTGTCAAGAAGCGGATTCGGTGCAGTTGCTCACTTTTTTATTTTTTTTAAAGATTTATTTTTATTATTTTTTTATTGGAAAGGCAGATATACAGAGAGGAGAGACAGAGAGGAAGATCTTCCATCCGATGATTCACTCCCTAAGTGAGCGCAACGGCCGATGCTATGCCGATCTGAAGCCAGGGGCCTCTTCCGGAACCTTTCCCAATGCCCCCTTCCCCTTCTAGAAACAAATCGTTAAATAAATAACTTCTGTAGTAGTCTCAAAACTCCCGAATCTTACTGCTAAAGTGTGTGAATGTGATTTTGAGGGGGCTTAATTGAACAACCTCGGTAATGGGAACCTCACTACCACCGCAGGCTGCCCGGGTGGTCCTGGCTTGCTGATTGCTACAGCAAAGCAGCCTTACACAGTGTGGAGTCAATTTCCTGGCAGGTTTCACCCTTAGTTCCTAGACCTCAAAGACCAAGTATAACTCCTCTTCCAAACCCGGCAGCTCCACTTCCCATCCAGCTCCTCTTTGTGGCCTGGAAAAGCACTCCAGGACGGCCCAAAGCCTTGGGACCCTGCACCTGCGTGGGAGACCCGGACAGAAGCTCCTGGCTCCTGGCTTCAGATCAGCGCAGCACTGGCCGTTGTGTTCACTTGAGGAGTGAATCATCAGATGGAAGATCTTCCTCTCTGTCTCTCCTGTCTGTACATCTGACTTTCCAATAAAAATAAATAAATCTTTTTTTTTAGATTTATTTTTATTATTTTTTTCATTGGAAAGGCAATATACAAAGAGGAGAGACAGAGAGGAAGATCTTCCGTCCGATGAGTCACTCCCCAAGTGAGTGCAACGGGCCGATACTATGCCGATCCAAAGCCAGGAGCCTCTTCCGGGTCTCCCACGCGGGTGCAGGTTCCCAAAGCTTTGGGCCGTCCTGACTGCTTTCCCAGGGCACAGGCAGGGAGCTGGAAGGGAAGCAGGGCTGCTGGGATGGAACCGGCACCCATATGGGATCCCGGGCGTGCTAGGCGAGGACCTTTAACCACTTGCGCCACCACACCGGGCCCAAAAATAAGTAAATCTTAAAAAAAAAAAAAAACAACCCTCCAAATGTTGGAAGGAAGTGGTGCTCGCCTTACCTGAACCAGGGCAAATGTCTTGTAACTGTTCATCCACTGTGTTTCCCCAGACCAATGCCCATCCTCCGTGTGACTCCCAGTGATGGACACCCCCGAAGTGAAACCTTGGAAACAACGTAAATGTCCACCGGTAGAGGTGTCACTTTAATATATGAGAACCAATGTTGTGCTGCAGTGGGCAAAGTCACCAACTGCAACACCAGTATCCCGTATCAGATTTTTAACATGAGTTCCAACTGCTCCACTTTTTAAAAAGATTTATTTTATTTTTATTGCAAAGTCAGATATACAGAGAGGAAGGTCTTCCATCCACTGATTCACTCCCCAAGTAGCTACAATAGCCAAAGCTGTGCCAGTCCGGAGCCAGGAGCCAAGATCCTGTCCCTGGTCTCCCACGCAGGTGCAGGGTCCCAAGGCTTTGGGCCGTCCTTGACTGCTTTCCAGGCCACAGGCAGGGAGCTGGGTGGGAAGTGGGACTGCCAGAACACAAACTGACACCCATTTTGGATCTAGGAGTGTGAAAGGCGAGGACTTTAACCTCTAAGCTACCATGCTGGGCCCACCAACTGTTCCACTTTCCATCTGGTTTCTCTCTCTAAAAAATGTAGCATACCAATGTATGGAAAGAACATCCTATAACAACATTTCACAATGTGAAAAATATTCACTTCTGTTAAACAATAAAAGAAATTTAAATAAACAGTTGCATATAATCATCACTCTTCAAAAAAAAAAAAAGAAATTTAAAAGTGTCTTTTTTATAGGTGTTCAACTTTGCCATAAAAATATGTAATAAAATTAATCTTTGTAAGATTTACCCCTGGGTGTCACAATTGTAGATTTTTTTTCAAATTTTCTGCAATGAACTATACATAGTCAGAAGGAGAAAATGGAACGTAGGTTCCTCTAGCTCTGTCCAGCACCCTGAGCCCTTGACTGTTCAGCATATCACAGAGGCCTCTTCCCACTCCCTTCTCTGGAGAAATAAGCAGATGTAGCGGAAGTCTCAGAAAGCCTAGTGGTCGCTCCTCTCATCTGCTTGGTTCTTTCCTTGCCCAGGTTCCGGGGAAGCCTTCAGCTGCCCTTCCTGCTTGCTGAGCCTTCTTTCAACCTCTTCCTATGACCCAATTTCTGGGCCGTATTATCAACCGTGTGGACGGTACCTCCAGCCATGTCCGGGCTCTGGATCAGGACTCCCAGTAGTCCCCGGCTCCACAATTTGCAGGTATGTCTCTCTTTAAGATAAATACAGAAGGGATCCTAGCTTCACCATTTTTGCAATATTCTTAAGTCATAAGACGAAAGGTTTTTTTAAAAAAAGATTTATTTATTTATTGGGAAGTGAGATATACAGAGAGGAGGAGAGACAGAGAGGAAGATCTTCCGTCCAATGATTCACTCCCCAAGTGAGCACAACGGCCGATGCTATGCCATGCCAATCCGAAGCCAGGATCCAGGAATTTCTTCCGGGTATCCCACATGGGTGCAGGATCTCAAAGCCTTGAGCCGTCCTCGACTGCTTTCTCCTGCCACAAGCAGGGAGCTGGATGGGAAGTGGAGCTGCCGGGATTAGAACCGGCGCCCATATGGGATCTCGGTGCATTCAAGGCGAGGACCTTAGCCGCTAGGCCACGCTGCCGGGCCCAACAAAAGTTTTAAAATATTAAACTAGAATATCCAGGAACTAATTCTGCCATAGTATTCAGGATGCCCTTATTAGAATAAAGCCTATTTTCTGATCACTGGATCCCCAAAAGGAATGATATTATTTACCCCAAATGTGATGCACCATCTATAATTTTGTTTACAAGGGTTCCCTCCCCCCAAGGATGTGAGGACAGTGAATGACCCAAACACATGGGACCAGAAACAGTGTCACTTTGTCCAACTGGGGCTCATTTTCTGCCTAATCTGACTCCCTCACACCATGCGTCAGAGACTCAGCCACCAAAATTCACAAAGTGAGTGAATGGCAAGGAAACGCAATAAACACCTTAACATACGGTAACTGAGTGTGTGCACTGTGGAAGGTGATCTGAGTGGTCCTGGGGACTGAGACGTGAGGATCAGACTGCAGGCCTGACAGTGTTTGAGACCAGAGCAGAAGACTGCGTGAAAACATGCCAGCTACAGCCTGATGAACTCCAGGGCAGGAAGAGAGCGGCCACTGACCCTGCCCCAGAAAGCTCACATCAGTGCCCCAGCGTGTTTCCCTCCTATGTCCATTGGCTCACCCGTTCATCCAGCTCTAAACATGTGAGTGATCAGGAAAGCCAGCTGAGGGGGGGATGAGAATCTGAGGGAAAGGAAAAAGCTTTCATGAAGATCATTTCTCACATAAAGCATTTTATAGCAGATGACTCAAAAGTGTATCATACCAGGGTGCTATAAAGACAAGTTGCAAGCTTAAAGCTGGACTTCATAAAACCAAACATCATTTGTTGAGCCTCTATTTTGTGTCGAGTACAAGGCTGGGTGCTTTGAGCACAGTCATGGAGCTGAAGATGACCAGGGTGGCAGAATTAAGCAGCCCACACATCATGCTGCCATGAAAGTCATGCAATGAGAAACAGACGAGGGCCAATATTTGGCTCAGCAGTTACACCATTCTGTGGCCCCCTGCCACCCGTATGGAAGGAAGCACCTGGGTCCACTGCCTGGCGCTGCTCCAGATGCCAGCTTCCTGCTGGTGTGCACTCAGGAGACAGCAGCGGAGGGCTCCAGTCGAGTCCCCGTCACCCACGGGGTGAACTAGGATTGAGTTCCAGCCAGGAAGTGAACCAGCAGACAGGAAATATCTCTGTCTACTTCTCCCTCCATCTATCACTCTGCCTTTCAAACAAATAAATAAAACTTCAGAAGGCAAAACAAATGTTCCAGAGTTCACAAGGTCCAAGAGGGCCAACCGGAAACTCCCAGTGTTCTCCTATTTGCCAACAGGCTAACCCACGTGTCTCCACGTGATGCAAAACTGGGTCCATGAGACAAAACCAAGGCAAAATCCAATAAACAAATGTTACTGTGGATCAAAGCCCATCACCAATACCAAGCACCAAGTCATTGCAGAGATCTACTAGAGCACATGAAATCGCAGTGTGAGGCCTGGCACAGTAGCCTAGCAGCTAAACTCCTCGCCTTGAACACGCCGGGATCCCACGTGGGTGCCGGTTCTAATCCCTGGCGGCCCCACTTCCCATCCAGCTCCCTGCTTGTGGCCTGGGAAAGCAGTTGAGGACAGCCCAAAGCCCTGGAGACCCCAAAAAAGCTCCTGGCTCTGGATCAGGGGGCTGCTTGGAGAGTGGATCAGCAGACGGAAGGTCTTCCTCTCTGTCTCTCCTCCTCTCTGTATATCTGACTTTCCAATAAAAATAAATAAATCTTAAAGAAAAAGGAAGGAAGGGAGAGAGGGAGGGAGAGAGGGAGGGAGGGAGGGAGGGAGGGAGGGAGGAAGGAAGGAAGGAAGGAAGGAAGGAAGGAAGGAAGGAAGGAAGGAAGGAAGGAAATAAATCAGAGTGTGATCCAGCTAAAGGCCGATGCTCCGTGTTTAACTGCATGTTAATGGAGTTGGGCCTTCCAACGCATTAACGCAACATCCCCTCGTTTAGAGACCGCTCCTGACTTAGGTTAGTCTGAGCAGGAGGGAGGACAGAGTTTGGACTTGGGCTCCTGTCTAGGCTTGGTGCTGTGCAGTCCAGTCCTGTCTGTCGACAGTGGGGAGGAGCAGAACGCAGTTCCTCGCGGCCCCACGGTCACACGGGACACAGGATGCTGCCGTGTGCTGTGTGGCTGAGCCAGGAGACGCAGTGGGTCAGGAGCATTCAATGCGCTTGCATGTTAAGATATGTTCAGACTAAGATGAGTTTATCTGGATGTAGCCTTATCCAAAGCCGACAAGTGTCTATATTTCGGCCTTGACACTTTCGTGTTCAGTGTAGTGACCGTGCTAACTTAATCCCTACATACTTAGTATTTAGAAAATGTTACTGTAAATTATATTTACAGTCCACCAGCTCTTTTTGTGTTGGCCATGTGACCTCTGGTTTTGTTGAATTCACTAATTAATTCTATAAACTGTACATTTCTTTGGATTTTCTAAATTTTTTTCAGTGAATAATTTGGATATTCTTCTTTTATATGGTTTTTGTTTTTGTCTATTTATTTGACTGATGGACAGAGTGCTCCCGTCTGCCAGTTTGCCCCCCACGATCATGAAACAACTGCTGGCTGTTGTGTCACCCCAGAGCCAGGAGCCAGGAACTTGATCTCAGGCTCACGGGTACATGGCAGCAGCTCAACAACTCGAGGCATCCCTGCGGCCTCCCAAGGTGTGTGTTGGCAGCAGCTCGGATCAGTTGAGCCCCTGATACTGAAAACAGGCAACTTGATGCCAGCCTCAAGGTCTGCCCTGCTCTGCATGTCCTTTCATTGTACTTGCTGGAACCTCGGGGGCTGCATCGGAATGCAGGCGACGGTAGTAGGGGCCATCTTGTCTCTTCTCATCCCTGAGGGGAAAATCCTCAACTTTTCACCACTCACAGTTCAGAGTGGTACTAGCCATGGGCTCTGAAAGGGCTTGTTTGAATCAAATTCAGCACAGTGCGTGGACAGGCTGGAACTTCACGGAGCAATTTCTCTGTTGAGATGACGACATGGTTTTCTGTTAATAATTGCTTCTCAAATGTTAAGCTGATTTTGTACTCCTGAAATAAACCCACTGGGTCATGATATACTAACCTTTTATTTTAAGATTTGTGTGTATTTTATGTATTTGAAAGGCAGAGTGACAGAGAAAGATATCGTCCATCCATTGCTTTACCCTCCAAAGGATGACAGTGGTTGGGGCTGGGCCAGAAAAAGGCAGAAGTTACAAGGTCTGTTTAGGTCTCCCAGTGTGGGTGCAGGAGCCCAACACTGGGACGCCCTCTACTGCCTTCCTCCAGGTACATGAGGAGGAAGTGGAGAAACTGGGACTTCAGTCCATGCTCTGATATGGTATGGCAGTGTCACAGGCAGAAGTTTAACTTGCTGTGCCACAACACAGGCTCCTGATATGTCAACCTTGCCATAAATTGCTGGATTTAATTTACCAAGTTTTTTAAAAGAATTTTTATGTTCACCAGAAGCTTGGTCGGTAAGTGTCATTCCTTGTAATGTTCCTGTACCAAAGCTATTTATGCTGGGGTCAGTGTTGTGGCATAGTGGATGAGGCTACTGCTTATAGCACAGGCATTCCATATGGGTGCCAGTTTGAGCTGCCCACTTTTTATTATTATTATAATTTTATTCTGATGATCTTTATTTACATAGTTGATTAGGGCACAAAGGGTCAAGGGCTACAGGAAAGTGGGTAAGACCATTGTTTCCACATTCTCTTTTTACTTCCTGTATCTGGAGAAAGGGAAAAGAAAAACGGAGAGGCCTCACCCAGCCTCCTGACCATCCTGCGGTCCCCGATGTGGGGCATGCTCTGAGGGCACTGCTCAAGTGCTTTACATAGATCAGCAGTTCTGAATTGCTGCCAGTCTCGCCATTTCAAGCACAATGAAATCTCTCCAGAATCTACTGGCTGACATAGTCCGCCTTAGAGTCTCTGTTTGCCTATATTTTCACCGTCAACACGTGGCTGGGGTAGATGATCGATTTGTTCCATCCTCCGTCCTCTGTTGTGGAGCCAGGTGTCCTCAGCAGGCTCCGATGGACAGCCATATCCTCCGTGTGCACCTGGATGTGCTGTCCACTGCTCCGTCTCAGCCACTGAAGCTCAGCTTTGACACATGCACTCCATGGTCAGACCATGGACCTGCACTTCTCTTCATGATTGGGGTTCTGAGATCAGCAGTTCAGTTGGGGGGATTCCCCAAATAAACTTCGTCTGAGGTGATCCCAGACCTGATTCTGGTGTGTGCTTGCCAGTACAGGATCTGGCACAATCCATCACCCCAATCAGCTTATGCATATGCTGGTGGTTGCAATTGCTGGGTCAGTTCTGTTTCCAGCCCTGTCTTCTGCATTGAAGAACTGTCCCACCTTTGACCCAGCTCCTGGACAACGTGCTGGGACAGCAGCTGAGGACAGCCTCCTGCTTTCGGGGGGCTCCCTCAACCACGAGAGAAGTGTGAAGAAGCTCCTGCCTCCTGGCTTCAGCTTGACCCAGTCCTAGCTGTTACAGCCATTTGGGCAGTGGAGCAGCAAATGAAAGATTCTCTCTCTCCCTCTTGCTCTCTCTCTGTCCTTGCCTTTCTGTAATTCTGCCTTTCAAATAAATAAAATTTGAAAAGAGGTTGCCTAAGCCTCAAAAATCGATTAGAAAATAGCCCCTTTTTTCTCATTCCCCTGAAGGGTGAAGTAATATTGACATTGTTTCTTCCTTAAATATCTGGAAAAATGTCTCAGTGACGTCATCTCATGCTGAAGCTTTTATTGAGGTACTGCTTTTAATAACAGATTCTAATTGCTTAGTAGACTTGGTAATACATATGATACTGCTTCTAGCAGTCTTGAAGAGCGGGCTCTTTAAAGTCTTTCTGCATTTCACCTACACTGGTGAATGAAGCTGCTCTGTTTAATTCCCTGCTCTGGCTTTCTTCACCTCTGCACCCGAGGTGAGGTGCTGTGGTCACAAGCGCCACCGATCGCTTGCAGTTCCTCTTGTTTGGTTCCATCTTGGAAATGTTGTATGATTCCTATCGATCTTTTCAGAAGACCAATTTCTAATCTGATTGATATTCCTGGTGGTCAGTTTTTCACCAATTTGTACTTTTTTTTTCTTTTAAAAAATTGTTAGAAAAGGTACAGTTAGAAAAAGAGAGAAATCTTTAATCTGCTGGTTCACTTCCCAAATGGCTGGTTTACTTCTGTCCATGGCCAGAGCTGAACTTATCCAAAACTAGGAACCAGGAGCTTCTTCCAGGTCTCCTACAGGGGTACAGGGTCCCAAGGCTTTGGACCATCCTCCACTGCTTTCCCAGGTCACAAGCAGGGAGCTGAATGGGAAGTGGAGCAGCCAAGACTTGAACTGGCAACCATACATCATGCCAGCATCACAGGCACCAGCTCTACCATGCTACACTTCAGCACCAAACTCCTACTCTAATTTTTTTTTATTACATTGCATCATGAGACACAGTTTTACAGGCACTGGGATTCCCCCCTCCCCTCCCCAAAACCCGCTTCCCTCCCCCCCATGGTGGATTCTTCCATCTTGTTGCATTACCACAGATCAAATTCAGTTGAGATTTTTTTTCCTTGCAA